AGGCCTCGCCTTATTCCCTCCCTCCATTGCAAGATCAGAGAGCATCAGCTCTCTAAATTTAAAATGCCATTTGAACCTCTAAACTGAGGTTCAAAATGGCCAGGGGCTTGCCCAAAGTCACACAGTGAGTGAAGCAGAGGTTCACTGAGGTTCCTGACACCCAAGCCCACAACTTGGCCCCTCTGACAGGCCCGTGCTGTGGGAAGGACTGGGGCCTCCCCAGAAGTGGGCTCACTCACAGTCCTTCTCCTTGTCTTGTAGGTGGTGGAGCTGGGGGCCTGGGAGTTGGTGGTGAGTCTGCAATGAAAAGTCCTTTAGGACCTAGAGGGGACCCCCTGTCAAGCAGGGCGGAGGGCCTTCCATTCCTTCTCCAGGGTGGGGGCATTGAGGGAGTAGCTAGTGTGGCCACAACCCTGGGCTGACCGTCTGGCACAGGGGCCTGAGATCCACAGGAGCATGGAAGAAGATGAGAATTCAGACCCAGAATGTGGGGACACAGGCAGGATCCAGATTCCTGGGGTCAGGGCAGGCTGACGGCTTGAACGTGTGAGATGGGGCAGGGCGAGACCAGGATGCACGGCTGGGTCTGACTGTGGTGGCGGGACCCCCCGAGCACTCGGGCCTCCATGGCTTCCACAGGGAGCACTGGCCAGACAGGAGGGCTGGGCTGGGCTTGGCTGGGCTGAGGGCAAACTGGGGACAAGGAGGCCTTCAGGCAACCGCAACAGGATGGAGCCTGGGTACATGGTTGGGGGCTGAGGAGGGGGCGCTGGGAGAAGCAGGGAAGGCCTGGCCTTCCCAACCTCCACCCTGCCGTCCACAGGCAAACCACCCAAGCCCTATGGAGGAGCCCTGGGATACCAAGGTGAGTGGAGACTCAGCCGCAGCAGAGGGCCCAGCTCAGAGAGGCAGACACTTCTGGGAGTGTGTGGGGCACGCTCTGATCACACACACCCACCAAAAGCAAAACAGACAAGCACAAAACAACCTCCCAGGGAGACTGGAAGAGACCCAGCCTCTCTCCTGTGGCTACTGGGGCTCCAGGTTCCCTTTCATCCCCCGCCCCACTCGCTTCCCACAACACAGATGAAGCAGCTGAGGACAGGGCCGGCAGAGGCAGAGGCAAGACAGTGTTCTCTCCAGAGGCCTGCCTCTCAGTGAGCACAGGCCGACTCTCCCGCCCTGGACGCTGCTTTCCACACACTGAAGGAGCTTTCCAGAAACCTGCCCCTGCCCTACGCATCTGCCCGCCGCCACTAGGTGGCGGTAATGAGCTACATCTAGCTGGGGGGTGGGTGAGGGGGGGCTGCAGGGATTTCACCAACCCCTGCTGGATGGGGCCTCAGGCAATGGGGCCTTGATTTGAAGGAGGCTCACCAATTAGATCCTCCCCGGCAGAGCTCAGCCCCCTCTTTGGGGGGCCTCAGATCACTAGTGAGGCCCCATCATGCTTAAGGTCCTCCTTGGGAGGGCCATCTTCTTCAGCCTCTGTCAGCTTCCCTTCACCCCATTTCTTTTGATGGGGCCACACTGCACGGCTCACTTCAGGCCTCCCTGGTGCCGTGGTCCCAGTGTAGAGATGGTCTAGGTCTGGTCCTTCTCGACTCAGCACCTTCCCTCTGAGTCTCAGACACGCAAGGTCTTGCCACCCTTCTGCCCAGTGGGAGTCTGGGCACCAGCACCCCTCCTAGTCACTGGCCCCACAGTGATGGTAGGGTTTGACAACTGCTTGGAGCTGGTCAGTGAGCAAGGTGAATGTCCAGCAGGTGGGGCCTGAATGACCAGTGTGTGCCTCCTCTCACCTAGGTGGGGCCTGCCTGGGGAAATCCTGTGGCCGGAAGAGAAAGTGAGCTTCCCAGGACCCCTGACTCACGACCTCATCAACGTTGGTGCTACTGCTTGGTGGAGAATGTAAACCCTTTGTGACCCTCACCCCCCCTCCCTCCTGAGGCCCCACCCCGGGAGGGGACAGGCAGGCCAGGCGACCTTGGAAATCCACAGGGCAAAGAAATGAGAGCAGGGGGGCCCCAGGAGGCCCCCTTCTCTAGAGGCAAGGGGTGGGTGGGCTCGCCCCCTGCCCCATCCCCTTCCCACCCAGGAGCTCCCCCCTCCACACACTCTCCATCTCCAGAAGAACTTGGTGCTACAAGCTGGTGCTCTCATCTTCCCGGGGGGAGGGAGGAGGGAAGGGCAGTCCCTCGGGGATCCCCCTCCCTGGGGCTCCTCTGAAGAAGGTGCAGACACTTCCTGGGCAGTCCCACCTCCCCCTGCCCACCTGGACCCACCTCTGGCTGCGGTCCACTTGGTACCCAAGCACAGAAAGCCTCAAGCTGGATTCGGTCACACATCTCTGGCCCCTTGGAGTCCCCCTCCCCACATCAGGTCACTGTTCCCCATGTCTGGTGCATCCTTGGGTCAGAAGACCCTCACTGGGAATAGCCCTCTTGCTCTTGTGGAATTCCCCTGCCCATCCGTCCATCCATCCATGTCCCCAGTTGACCGCCTGGCACCGCCAGCTGGCTGGGCACCATCCACCTGGTTTACCTGCCACGGCAGCCTGTGCCCTGCCTCCGTCCCCCCAGGTGCACCCTAGGAAGGGGCTGTGCCCGGCTGAGGGGTGGTGCCAGTCCTTCCATGGGGGCAGCAGGACTCCCTCCCCCACCCGGGTCTCCCCCCACGCAGTACTGTAACCCCCGTCCTTCCCTGGAGCCACTGTACTTCAGAGCATTTCCCACCCTGCCCCGCCCGTCTCTTTGTGTCTCGCTGTGATAGATCAATAAATATTTTATTTTTTGTCCTGGATATTTGGGGATTATTTTTGATTGCCGATGTTCTCGTTTGGCTTTATTTTTGTGGTTAAATGAAAAAATTAAAAAGATGGTTTTGTTTTGTCTTTTTTTTTTTCCTGATCTGGGGAGCTATGTCCCCAGTAGAAAATTCATTTTAATCACTTTGGTATAACTCTGGATGAAACACATCTTTTTAAACAAGAAAAGAGAATTAACTGCTTTTAAAAAAGACTAATAAATGAAAACCTTTTCAAGGAAATCGTGCCTTGGCCTCCTTTGTACTGCCATCTGCCTTCAGCGCTTGGTCCGGGTGCTGGCCAGGGCCTTGGGGAACACCCACTGTTTGAGGTGCTTGGAAGAGGCCTGGCTTCCTGTGTATCGACACTTCTCCAAGTTCAGTTTATCCTTTACAATGAAAGCTCTTCTGTAGGGGAAGCAGGGTCAGCCGGCCTCACACCTGCCATCCGGTGCACCATAGGTGTCCTCCTGGGGCAGGCTCCACCTCAATCCCTGTTGTCCCCCAGAGAACTCCCCCACCCCCTGCAGCCACCTTCATCCTTAAGGGTCCCCAGGACCTTGAGCACAAGGCCTAGTGAGTGGCCTGCAGACAGTCAGGTGCGCCTGAGCAATGGAGAAAATGGAAGTGACCCTTCTGTCCAGCCCAAACTCTAGCCTTGGTGAATAGTCACACACAGAGAAGAAATGTCCCAATTCAAGAAAACCAAAAAGGGCCCTCCCTGGTGGCGCCATGGGTTCAAGCGCAGCGAAGCTAGCTGCAGCCATTTCGGCCATTTCAGTTTCAGCCATTTTCAGCGCCAGTTTGATCCCCGGCCAGGGAGGTGACCCACATGGTGCAGCAGGCCTCTCCTGACCTGCCCGCTGCTCCCGTCAGCAATGTACTTCGTCACTCTGCCTGTTCTGCTCCCCGCTCTGTCTCTGGTGAAGCCTCTCAATACCCCTGCACCTCCTGCCTGTACCCCAGTTATGTATGCACAAATAAATAAGTCTTTAAAAAAAGAAAACCAAATCAACATGTTTCCCTCTGAAATCTCCCCTCTCAGGAAGCACATTGGCTTCTTTATGAAATGTAACATATGGCACCTACTGGCAGCACCAGGAAACTAAGCCCCACCTTTACATGCATCCCTTACCTTCCCCTCCCAGTCAGAAATCCATGGGGTCTAGGGTGTAGCCACCCAGGGCCCACAACCTCCTTCTAGACTCTTCTTCCCTTTCAAGCACCAAGTCTACCTCCAGGCCCACATGACCTCATGCCTGTGTCTGTCCCCGGGGTGGATCCCGAGGCTGGTGGGCACGCCACTGCCAGGCCACCCAGCCAAGAGAGCTGTTTGTTGGGAGTGTGGGTGAAGTTGGCCAAGCAGACAGGCACACCTGTGCATTAGCATCTGAGGAGTTAGGGTGACAGAGAAAGGGGTTGGCTTGATGCTCAGGGGGAGCTCCCCAGAGGATAGCAGAGTGCCAAGAGCAAAGTAGCAGGCAAGAATCTCCCAGCAGGCAGGAGAGCCTGGTGGGGGAGGGCAGAAGTGAGACAAGATGGAGGGTGGTTCACAGGGGTAGGCATCAGAGAGCCCCATAATTGGGTTAGTAGCTTGCTCTGCAGGCTGCAGCCAAAGCAGTACCTCCGCTCAAACTCCTGCAAGGGCTCCCAGCTCACTGAGGGCCAAAGCCAGAGGCTTATTTCTTTTTTTAAATTTATTATTTATGCATACAGAACTGGGGTACAGGCCAGAGGTGCAGAGGCAGTGAGAGGATTCACCAGAGACAGAGTGGGGAGTAGAACAGGCAGACTGATGAAGTACACTGCTGAGGGGAGCAGCGGGCACATCAGGAGAAATCTGCTTGGCCGTGTGTGTCAGCTCCCTGGCCGGGGACCAAACTGGCGCTGAAATGACTGTGGCTAGCTTTGCTGCGCTCGAGCCCGCTGTGCCACCAGGGGGGGTCCCACAGAGGCTTTTCAATGGCCTGGGGTCCCTAGCTGAAGTCCACCCCCTGCTGCTGTCTGGTGCCTGGCCTGTCAGGAACGCTGGCCCTCTTCTTTTCCCCACTACAAGCCCCCACATTTGCAGTCTCTCCTGCCCAGAATGTTCTTGCCTTGGCAGTCAATGTACTTGGCTCCTTCAGATCTTGACTCAAGAGTCACCTCCTCAGAAGGTCCTTTCCAACATAGCAAACCGTGGCCCCGCCCTGGGCAGTGCTCCCTCATCCCCCACCCCCACCCTGCTTCCTTCTCTCCAGAGCACCTGTCACCATGGGGCATAATAGGTTTATTCCCTTGCTTATTAGTTGATGCTCCACGCCAGAATGGAAATTCCCTGAGAACAGATGCTATTTTAAGAACATAATAGATAACTTCAGCTTCCATTACTCATACATCTGGTAATAACCCCAAAAACATCTAAGTCCTAGCCCCTGAAACCTTGTGAAGTATTATTAATCTGTATTCGTCTGTGCAGGCAGCCAGTGAAAGTAACACCACTGAGGGGCTTAAGCAACAGGTATTGGCTTTCTCACAGTTCTAGTCTGGAAGTCCAAGATCAAGGTGCTGGTGTCTCCTGGACTCGTACCAGGCTGTCTCCGCTCTGTGTCTTCACACGGTTTTCCCTCTGTATGTCTGTGTCCTGATCCCCTCTTTTTATAAGGACACCAGTCAGATTGGATGAGGGCCCATTCCGATGACTTCATTTTAACTTAATTGCCTCCCTAAAGACTGTCTTCAAACACTGCAGCATTCTGAGTTACTGCGTTAAGACTTCAACATGTGAATTTGGGGGGGGAGGGGCAAGGGGGCTCAGCTCACAACAGTTCCTTTACATGGAAAACAGTTTTTACAGCTGTGATTAAGGATCACGAGATAAGGAAATTATCCCAAGAGTCCCTAAATACCATCACAAGTATCCTTAGGAGAAGCTGGAAGAATTGTATGCCAACAAACTGGATAACCCAGAAGGCATGGATAAATTCCTAGAAACACACAACCCACCAAGACTGAATCATGACAAAATAAAAAATCTGAACAGATCAATAATGGGTAAGGACATTGAGTCAGTCATCAAAAACTTGCCAAAGAAAAGTCCGGGGCCAGATGGTTTCACTGTTGAATTCTACCAAACATTTAAAGAAAAATTAACACCAATCCTCCCCAAAACTTAAGCAAAAAAAAAAAAAAAAAAAA